ATCAAATCATATTTACAGTAATAATCATTGTAGCAAATTGCTAAAACATAATTCTTCTCCTGATATCAGCATGAAGTATCTTTTAACTTTCCAAATATGGTTATTAAAGAGCAATGATGCATTTGTTATTGTAATCTTGCATGTCAATTGAATGCAGTTTCTTATGTTTTCATTTCATAATGTTGATATTGTTAGATTTCATTAATTACTTCATTTGTATTGTATTGTATTGTCTGTACTGTCTCATTGGTTACTTTCTGAGATCTCAATATTTCAACTCTTGGCATAAAAATTTCAATTGCTTTAAATTAATTATTATATTTGGTTTTAAATGTGTAAACCAACATAATTTTTGTTAGTGTATTTGCTCTATTAAGTAGCACATGTGCTTGCATAAATGGCAGATCTACGTCACATAACATTTTACGTTATGCCAGGCGATGTAAATGCCTGGATGTCCGCCCCCGAAAATATGTGATATTTTAATGATTCAGCGTACAATGTTGAAAGAGCTACTTTTTAATAGAGCAAATACAGTAACCAATCATAAAATAAGCTTAATGTATATGTTTAATAATTTGATGATTTTGGAATAAAAACTCAAAACAATGAAACCTAAAATGTTAAAAAAATTTAAAAACAATTCTAAACCAGGCTTGAAGTAATTTGAAAAGATTTGTCTGTTCATCATCTAGTGTGTCTGTGTGTCATGATACAATACCTCATAATATCATTGTTTGCTTTTCCCATCATTCCTTGCTGCATCAACAGATGGAGGTGAGTTGATAAATTGCAAACTATCAAAAGGCAGCAATTAACTAAGAGCACCTAGCTTACATTTAATAACTATCCAAACACCTGATAGTAACTAATAAATGCACCTTATGTATGCCTAACAAATCACTGGGTTGCTTGTAGTCATGGCAACAATGTAATTGCAGTCTTCAATTATTTGTTTGAGCTCTGTTTTCAACTGCGCATTCAGTTGTTTGAAAATATTGGGCAGACATCTGAAAGTGGGGAGTTTGTGTATAAAATTGTGGTTGTTTTCAGTTTTACAGATTCGAAAACAGTTCACATAGTAATAACTGTTTTACAAAACTCAGTTTTAATACTGTAATTCCTTTGTTGCTGCTCACATTTTCATTAAAAAATTCATTTTTATAATCTATACTTGGCCAAAGGTTCTGCCTGCACTAGTTGCTATTTACTGGGAGTCTATTTAAATTTTGTCTATTGTCCTTATAAAGTTATGCTATGGTATGAGTTTGATTATTCTTCAAAAGATTACATAATACTGAATAAATAAAATACGCTACAAAAAATGCAAGACTTAAAAATGCAGGACAATATAATAGTTCTTGAATTTTATTGAAATTGTAGCCTTTGTCTATTGTCATCAGTAAATGATGTATAAATAAATCATGAACTTGAAACCTATTATTAAGTTGGATAAGACATGTGTGTCTATTACGGTATATGTGCTTTGTCACAAATTCTTAAGATACATGAACAAAAGTGATTTGATCCTAATATGATGGCCATATTGTTGTAGACTTATGAAATATGCAAAGCTTGCAGGGGTTTCACAAATTCATTTAATAGCAGGCCATCATCCTGTAACAACCGGCCAACAGGCAGTGCGAAGCGCTGCAGTGAAACTGCTGTTTGTGGTTGGAGTGGGGATAGACCAGAAAGTAGACGGCCGATTTGGTCTTGTAGCAGGCCACATGGCCGGCGGCCGGCTCTTAACGAAACCCCTGCTGATTCAATTCAAAAACTCGAGTACATTTCATAAAAATTGTCATTGACATTATTTCAAGGGGCAATGTTCCTGCCACGTGCATACCCATGTGTACTATACCTGCTGGAATATTCTCGTGTGAGTCTTGACTCGTAGTGTGCCATGTGACACTAAAGATACTGAATACCAGATGAGAGGGTTATCAACAATGATAGGGACACACGTAGCTATCAGTGCTCAGGGATAGTGGCACTATGAACTTCATAAACACAAATGTTGCCGGCATCTAATCCAAGGAATCTGTAATTATTCTCTCATTGATACATTTGTCTTTGTTTTTCCAGTTACCTGCCGACTCATAAATACTATCTAGCAGTGAGTCCATTGGATAATTCCGTGTACATGGCTGATAGTCAAACTAGACAAATTCTCAAACTGCGCTACCTTGTACCACCAATTGATGTTAATGATAATATAGAATTGATAGCTGGCACTGGAGCACAGTGTTTACCATTAGATAATAATCAGTGTGGTGATGGTAGACAAGCAAGAGAAGCTAAACTTATTGGACCAAAAGGTAGATTCAGTTAGTTCACTGATAATAGTCAAATTAATTGCACTATAATGTTCAAATTGCCTCACACTGTAATAGTCAAATTGACTCACACTATAACAGTTTCATTGACTAGCACTATAACAGTCACATTGACTCGAACTATAGTGGTCACATTGACTCACACCATAACAGTCTCATTGACTCACACCATAACAGTCACATTGATTCACACTATAACATTTTCATTGACTCACACTATAACAGTCTCATTGACTAGCACTATAACAGTCACATTGACTCGAACTATAGTGGTCACATTGACTCACACTATAACAGTCTCATTTACTCACACTACAACAGTCATATTGACTCACACTATAACAGTCTCATTGACTCGCACTATAACAGTCACATTGCCTCACACTACAGCAGTCACATTGACTCACACTATAACAGTCTCATTTACTCACACTACAACAGTCATATTGACTCGCACTATAGCAGTCAGATTGACTCACACTATAATGGTCATATTGACTCACACTATAACAGTCTCATTGACTCGCACTATAACAGTCACATTGCCTCACACTACAGCAGTCACATTGACTCACACTATAACAGTCTCATTGACTCACACTATAACAGTCTCATTGACTCACACTATAACAGTCTCATTGACTCACACTATAACAGTCACATTGACTCACAATATAATGGTCACATTGACTCACACTATAACAGTCACATTGACTCACACTATAACAGTCACATTTACTCATACTATAACAGTCACATTGACTCGCACTATAACAGTCACATTGCCTCACACTACAGCAGTCACATAGACTCACACTATAACGATCACATTGACTCTCACTAACAGTCACATTGACTCACATTATAACAGTCACATTGACTCGCACTATAACAGTCACATTGCCGCACACTACAGCAGTCACATAGACTCACACTATAACAGTCTCATTGACTCGCACTATAACAGTCACATTGACTCACACTATAACAGTCACATTGATTCACACTATAACAGTCACACTGACTCGCACTATAACAGTCGCATTGACTCGCACTATAACAGTCACATTTACTCATACTATAACAGTCACATTGACTCGCACTATAACAGTCACATTGACTCACACCATAACAGTCACATTGACTCACACTAACAGTCACATTGACTCACACTGTAACAGTTACATTGACTCACACTATAACAGACACATTGACTCACACTATAACAGACACATTGACTCACACTGTAACAGTTACATTGACTCACACTATAACGATCACATTGACTCTCACTAACAGTCACATTGACTCACATTATAACAGTCACATTGACTCACACTATAGTGGTCACATTGACTCACACTCTAACAATCACTGCCTTGTTTTATTCAACAGGTTTAACTATTTCATCAGATGGGTCTATATACTTTATTGATGGATCAGTGATTAGAATGATTAATACAGATGGTATTATTTCTACTTATATGGGATCACATGACACCATAGATTCACCAAGACCATTCCGGTGTCAAGGAACAATGACATTTGATGAGGTATGTTTATACATCTTTTATGAAGTCTATAAAAAACACCACAACAGTTACAGTTTCTTGTTGGTTATTTCTTCTGATTGAAAATTAGTTCTCTATGAAAATATACTCTTCTGGTTAAACTGAATCAACATTTTAATAGTTTCTGTGGCTTTATGTTAATGTTTTTGTTTCATTTCAGGTGCAATTAGAATGGCCGATAGACATTGCAGTCAATCCTGTAGATGGGTCACTCCACGTCCTTGATAATAACATAATCCTGAAACTGACACCTGATAAAAAAGTGTCAATCGTAGCAGGAAAACCAGTGCACTGTATTTCATACTTTAATCAATCAAGATCCGTCATTGAAGAATTTTCTATATTTGACCAATCAGATGCTTTGCTTGCACGTGGTGACTTTCTCAGTAAAGCACTCGCAATAGCGTTCTCACCGACGGGTGAACTATACGTGACCGAGACCAACAGTAGATTTATTAACAGGGTTCGGAAAATCACCACTGATGGGAGAATTGTGCTGTTTGCTGGTGGTGTTTCACAATGTGATTGCAGTACCGAGGATTGCGACTGCTTCATTGGTGATGAAATAGTTGCTAAGCACTCCATGTTGCACATACCAACCGCCATCACCGTTGCCCCTGACAACACTCTGTACATTGCTGATCAGGGTAATCTTCGTATCCGCTCCGTCTCTCCAAATATGCCACAGCCTCGCCATGGAAAACAGTACGATGTCGAGTCGCCAATCAGACAAGAAATGTATGTGTTTAATAATGATGGCAAACATATTATGACCCGGGACGTGGTGACTGATGAAATTGAATTGAATTTCACTTACACTGATAATAATGAACTGAAGAATATAATAGCTACTGCTGGTGGTATTTTCAAAATAAATAGAGATATTAATGGAATAGCAACATCTTTCACATCACCCGACAATGACAGATATGAAGTTATCATGAATTCTGATGGGTACTTGCAATCAGTTCTAACAACTAGCGGGAAAATTATGTCCACATTTAGTTACCATGGCGATAGTGGGCTCCTAGCAACCAGAAAAGATGGAAATATACTCACTAAAGTTTACAGGTTTGTTCTGTTTTAATAATATTTCATATCATGATCATTGTAGTTGTTGATGTAAAAAGCACTAACTTAAATGTAATATATAGGAAAAAAGTGTATTTGCTGACTTTTATTTTCACTGAATCATCCCTTCAGCAAAAAAGATATTGAAAATTAAAGTATTTTACAGTATATCATTTTAATTTCTAATCAAAATAAAAGATGTCATAAAACTTATTTTCAGGTATGATCAGTATGGTCGCTTGGATTCCATCGGATATTCCAATGGTGATGTAACTCAGTTAGAGTCAGCAATTAGCCTGGAAGGAGCAAGCACCAAGATCACCCCTAGCAACCGAATAAAGGTTAAGCTTATGTCAGAGGTCATGCCCTGGATTACAAGGTTCCAAGAAAAAAGAGGTAAAGCATTCTTCCATTGGTAGTTCACTGTGCTTTACTGTGTTACTTTGAGAAACATTTTTGGCTGCTAGAAAAGTTCACATGGATTAAATAGTACAATAATGTGACTTCTCTAATTCTAACCCAGAGTGTCACTTGTAGAGCCAGAAATTGTACTCACTTATGGGATACATGTCGAAGGGCTTGTTTATTTTTGTCTTTAATTTTTCATGTCAGTCACTTGATATTTTATTAATTTTGATTATAGCTGACCAAATTATGAACATCACGCTGTCACCGAATGGGTCGACTTTAGTGACATATCCCAATGGAGTGGAAGTAGAACTCGAATCTGAAACTTATCCAACAATGGAGGAAACAAGCCCCGTGTTGACAAAGAGAAAAATCACTTTACCATCGGGCAATGTGCATCGGTTAGAATGGAGGTTTTATGTCAGACGTGGCGGTAGAAAGAGTAAAAGAACAGTTCAAGTTGTTGGAAGACGTCTACGGGTGAGTTGAAACCTTTGCGGCTACAAATATATCGCCCTCTAGAAGCCATGTATAGAAAACCTTTGTTTTTTTAGGGTAGCTTTGATAAATAGTATCACAAATAGCAATGAAAAATACCAGAAGAATACTGCTTCATTCAACACACTATGACTAATATAAGATTGTAACATTATATATAATAATAAGTCTAACTTGGTTTCACACTCGATAGAGAAAGATTACAGTGAATACTTGCTAAGTGTAACATGTATGTTTCAATTTGTAAATTTCATGAAAAGGTTGGGAAAACTAGGTTATTGGTTTAATGCTACTATGTTCAAGAAGCCAAAAACAATTAACTAGTTAATTCCATAAATAAGCAAGAAAGCATTAGGGAGGGGTGATAAAACTGTGATGGCTTTCATGTTTATCAAGTCAATGCACAAGGTAGTTGATACACAAGTTCTGTTTTACTTCTAGATTAACGGTATCAATGCATTAACTCTTGAATACAACCGATACACGAAAACCGAGACGCTACACGATGCGGACAATGAACCTCAGCTGATAATATCACATGATAGTCAAGGTCTTCCAACCGAATGGCAACCGAGCAATGGTATGAAGTCTGTGTTTGTGGATTACAACCAGCAAGGGAGGGTCAGCTCATGGCGTAATGGCGTGTTGTATATGATTGTGGAATACGATAACGATGGGCGTGTCAGTGCCAAGCATTATAGTGGTGGCTCTGAAATTAGATTTATGTACATTGCTGGTAAAAAGGTAGGTTGAGAAAAATCATAGTATGATGACACAGTAGTTAGGTAACCATGGTAACATGGTGAATAACTTATTATGTACTTTGAACTGGTCACACTTCTTGGATTAATCAATTTCAATTTTTAAATTTGAAAATATCATGTGATTATGTGATTATTATACCCAATATTATATATTTCTAATTACATTGTTATTTTTTTCAACATTCAGCCCACTACTGTGATTCTACCACTTGGACAGGAATATCATCTAAGCTACAAGTCGGGACAATTATCATCAGTCACATCTCCGTCAAAGACAACTTACAGTTTAGATAGACTTGCACTGGTTGGTAACTATAGAAACATCTTCTTCATCAATGATACACAATGGTTGATAGAAGACCGTCTCAACACAGGAGCAATTTCCAAGATCTTGTATCCTGGCAACAAAAGAAGAGTTACTTATCTGTATAACAACCAGGGCATGAAAAGTGTAATGCTGCATGATGAAGTAGTTGTCAAGTTTGACTATTATCGATTTGAAGGACAGATTAAAAGTATTGAGATGAAAGATTCATATCTCAAGAACGTACTGCGCTATAAATATCATGGCCCATTACCGAAAGAACAGACGATGCGATTCAATGAAGATGGGTTCATCGGTGTGGAATATCGCTATTCGTATGATAATAATTTCAAGATAGCATCTGTGCAGTCTGATTTTGATGGTCATTCTTCACTGTTTTGTAATTATACATACCACATTGAGAAAGGTCATCCGGTACAATATTGTAATTATACAGTGATTCAGATGGAATGGTTTGCTGTCGTACTCGCTCACGGCGAGTCCACGATCACAAAACAGTTTGACCAGTATGGGCGTCTTATCATCTATCAGCTGCAGATCAAGAACGAGGAAGTCTACAAAATGATTGTGAAATACAACAACATTAGTTACATTTCAGAAAGCCAACTGAATACTCTGAATGACCAAGTCAAGTTGAACTTTCTATATGACCAAAATGGGCAAATTTTGGAAGTGAATGCTGGGAACTGGTTGTCATGGCAATATTCCTATGACAACAATGGAAACTTGGTCAACTTGAAATATAATGATGATAATCAATTCTTGCATTATGATTCTCGTGACCGTATTATACAGTTTGTTGATACTGCGTATAAAATTGATGATGATGGATTTTTGATTCAAAGAGGTCAGGAAACATTTCGTTACGATTCCAAGGGAAATCTTGTGCATGCATTAAAGGTTGGTGGAAATGAAGTTTGGTATCATTATGATGGTCTCAACAGACGAGTGGTTCAAGCAGATAACCGTGGCAACAGAGTACAGTATTTCTATGGTGATATTGAATACCCTAATCGTGTGACCAATATTTACGATAAGTCTTCTCGTGAACTATTGACATTGATCTATGACTTACAAGGCTTTTTAATGGCAATCAGAGATGGCAGTCGGCAGTACTATGTAGCAACGGATCAATCTGGGAGTCCTGTTGCCGTCTTCAATAATAGAGGGGAATTACTGAAACAGGTTGTGTACAGCCCATATGGAGAGATTATTCAGAACACAGCACCTAACTTCAAGCTTCATCTGGGGTTCAGAGGTGGTATCCATGACGAATTCACCGGGTTTGTACATTTCCCAGAAGGTGACTACGACCCTGTGATTGGACGATGGATCAACCCACAGTTTGATGCTATGTGGAGATGGGCAACACAAACAAACAAACATCCTGCTCTGAATGTATACATCTACAATGGCAACAACCCAGTAAATGATAATATTGGAGAGTTCCAGTTCATGACAGGTAATAATTCATCTTCCCAAAAGACCATTTTCTTTTTTTTTGTCAATTTTTTTTTTGCTAAAATGTCATTTTGGTAAAAATGTTATATAAGAAAATAAAACTTTCTTTTCATGATTTGCATATTATGACATCAGTGAAAATAAAAGCATCATCACACAACCTTTGGGTTGAATCAGATCCAAAATTAATAGCCTGAGAAATCTGGCGATTTATTTGTCAACTTAACTGCTTTGTATACCCATTATATGTGATGTTAGTGACAAATACCAACCTGTTTTTTCCATAAAAGACCATTCATTCTAAAACTCCCTTATGCAGACTGATAATTCTAATGTACTTTCACAGTCGTATTCTTTTATGTGTAGACATTCACTAATTTATCAGATGTACTGTGAAGTGTTTCATTTTCACTCCGAGAAATTTTTGTGATTTCAGGAATTTATGGCGTTCGCTAAGACAAAATTTTGACAAAAGTCACTGGCACTATGTGTGCAGGAACACCAGAGAAATTTTCACTGCTACAAAATTTCAGCATTCTCATTGATTCATGAAAATTGTTCTCTCACATTAAAATTCAAGAGGTTTAGAGTATACCATTCTGTGATTTTATATTATGTAAATATTGCTTACCATTGTATTCCTAGTCTGAGCTAATTGTACTGAATAAATCATATACTGTAATATGGCTAATTTTCACTGGGTTTAAATTTCGCTGATTTACCATTTCAGGCATATTCAGTGGGTTTTAAATTCACGGTTCTATCATTTAGATAATGTGTTCAATGCTAAATTTTACATATTCACTCGGTTTTAATTTAGCGCATTTTCCAGTCAGCGAAATAAGCAAAATTAAAACCCAGTGACTAATTAACCCCTTTACAGTATAATATAAAAATACTTACTGTTTTTATTGTTTTCTTAGACCTGAAGAATTGGTTACCAGTGTTGGGTTTCAGTTTAACCACGATGGTGCCGCATACAGATAAGAATGGTGAAATAACGCGCAATTATCAACAATGGGGAAAATCCACCAATGATGTATGTAATAGCCAGGTATGATAAAGCGATGTACTGTAGACTTTATTGACATAATAGGTATTTTAGTCGAAAACACAGACTTATGTTCTCGGGCTATGTCCCTGTGTGTTGTGTGCCTCAGTCCAACATCATTTCCGAACTGATTTTTATTGGTACAAGTTTTGAGTCATCATCATGGGAGACACATATATGATGATTTATTTTTCATTTCATTGACAATTTTGTCCCAAAAAACATGTGTCAAGTCATGAATCATTTCTCAGGCAAGGCTTGGGTGATATCATTTAAACTTGGTATTGACATCACTTGTGATAAAAATCGAGATCCAACTAAAGATTCAGTATTGATGTCAGAAAGCAGCTTCAACAGGTGCACAGTTGCTGCCTCAGCAGTTTACAAGTCAGTGTGTGTACTCAATGTTACCCTCCAGGACATTTTATTTTCCACACCTAATTTATATTAAAACTTCTTTCTCTTTTTCAGTTTACTTCCACTGTGGAATGCATTGCTTCTAATCTCATGGATTCATTGAACAATCATCTCTACTCATTACCCACAATGCAACTCTTTGATGATCCAGTAATTGACCGAATAGAAACCAGAACCAGTGAAGATGGCATAGGATCAAGTATATTTAAAGATCATGTTATCATGTCTATTGAAGATGGACGGGTCGTAACACGACTGCTTGATGATAGCAATGAAAATCTTGCTAATCTTGCAAAAGTTTTGAACGGATCCGAAATGTTGGATAGGACAAAGTACAATATACATGGGAAGGAATCAGTTTACTTCGTTAAAGGGAGAAATACTGTCGGTTATGATCTACGTGTGATCGGGGCAACAACTGATACTAATACTCGTCCACTTATTGAGCGCATTGACTTAACTGATGACTTAACTGTTACGATTCACACGATATACCCCGGACACACAAATAAATTTTCAAATATTGATATTCGCATCCACAGCACGTACTTAGTTCTGAATATCAGATACGGTGCAACACCAGCCGAAGATCAAGATCGCGTGAGACGACATGTTAAACAGCGGGCTATTCTTGATGCATGGAATCGGGAACGTGACTTGCTTTTGCAAGGAAGAGTCGGCTCCAGAATGTGGACGGAGGATGAACGCAACAGCGTCATACAAAACCGATACGTGGATGGTTACGATGGGTATTATGCGCAGGACATTGATAAATACCCAGAACTAATCGATGATTGTAACAGCATAAGACTATTAACCTACCAAGAGGGTGATGAACTTACTGCTTCGCAGTTGAGCGGAGAAATGTAGATGAAATTAAAAAAAAAAAACTGTGTATATAATATATATATATTTAAATTTTAATAACTGTTTACCTGTGGTTCTAAATCCACCAATATGAACTTCCAGCTTACTGCCAGCCTATTTGCTGTCTCTTTTAGAACATTGCTACCCCTAGAGGTATTAATGATAAAGTTTTTTGCATTGTGTGTCATTGATGTTTTTGTACCATTCTTTTGTTTGCATTTTTTTTTTTTTACAATCTGTACCTACAGAATTTATTTAAATATGAGGATTTGTTTTCCAGAAAAATTGTTATCAGCTTTTGTATATGCATTTTCACTGTTGAAGAATTTTTTTTAAAACTTATCTTACAAGAGGAATAACTGATGAAAGCTATTTATTAGGTGGTTGTCAAGGGCTGATTACTTTGGGCGTGTATCACAGACTGTGTGGAGATCTCACTCCAAATAACATCTCACATTTTACGTGATTGAATCTAGAAGTCTGCTTTCTTGGCCTCCTGTCACACAAGCAACTAATATTTCCAGTAATTTTTGTATCTGACTTTGGAGGTTACATGTATTTTTAAAACTTGATGGTCATAGCACAAAAACTTGCCAAGTACAAGTTTTAGTTTGGGAATCATTAAAATAATATGAACTATCTATCAGAACTAAAATCTGCCAAATTCAGTGATGAGAATGTGTGATTTCAGTGAGACCACATTACATTCTATTTGTGTCAAGTCAAGTGAGTTTTATTCACCATTGATATTTTATGTAACCAAATTGTTAAATGTGTCTATATATTAGTCAGTGGGTAGACTAGTGCTACCCAGTACCCCCTAGTCTTCTCTAAATAAATCTTATATGATGTTGATTTTATCACTATGGTGATGCTGTAACTTGAAGCATTGTGATATTATTTTACTTTGCAGTCAACTGCAAAAACAGAATTTTGTAAAAAAACACATTTATTTTTTATAACAATTTGGCTGTTTTTTCCCCAAACTTGCATTCTCATTAGTAGTGTGCTAGGATCCAGAAAGCTGAGATAAAGGGGGTCATTGTATTTTTATTCTTTTTTTTCACTCATAGTTTTGGTGCTATATAATTGGTCAGCTGTTCCAGTGTTAGATCAACAGTTGGTCATTTTTATATAAAATATTGCTCTTTAAACTTCCAGAACACTGGTCTGAAAAAAAATATTTATTCATGTGTTGTTTGAATATGCGTAATTAAGAAAATCTTCTGAAATGTTGTTGTTGAAGCAGCAAATATTATTTCACAGTTCATACATCAATGTCATTGTAATTGAATTTAAAATCACTTTTTTTTGCAGCAGCATCTTTTCCAAGTTTGTAACTAAAGACTGCCATTTTTTTATGTATATTTAAAAAAAGCAAATCTTTTTTTTTAAGTGCTTGCATGTTTTATGCTAAAAATGATTTTTGTCTGTAAAGATGATTGCAACTAGAACAATGAACTGTGCCAAAGTCAGAGTTAGAAACCATGATAAAACAAGTAGGATTACTATTCAGGAATAGTTTGTTTTTTTTTTTTTTGTTTTTTAATATAATGTATATACTGAAGCCAGTCTACGCTTGTCTCTGTCGACATGCAACTTTTGAAAATTGTGATGTTATTTATGTTGTGAATTAAAGTAATTTTGAATTGATATAGGTAAATTGGAAACTTTTAAACAAATTTTTATCCATAAATAATGGAAATGGATGGTCACCTATTAATTGATTAATAGAGGTGCCTGCCAATTAATAGTATTGTTTTAAAATAAATAATATCAGCATTGTTTTTGTTTTTAATGTGTACAAAAATTTATTTAACCACCCAACATTGTATCCAAAAATTGTAACAATCACATTTTTTTAGTTTTAAGTCAGTGTCTGAGATAATAAAGAAGACTTTCTATGGAAGCCAAAAGAAATTATTTTTAATTAAAATATTATAAAAAAATGATCACACATAGTTCATTAAAGTGTTTGTATTTATTCTTGTTCATTATTCATACAGGCATATTCACATTGTACATAAATATCCTTCGCATTTTTAATGTGGTGATGCTGTTGCCACTTGCATGACTCTTCGCTCTGTATTCGTACAGTTGATGTGTGTGTGTTTGTGTAATGTTTACTCTACATGCCTGATTTAAAACAGCTCAATCAGGGTGCTTCATTGTGTAAGGTATAAGTGTGTTGATATGTACATTGCATTACAGTGATGCCAGTCATTGTCGTTAAGATTTCAAACAATTCTGACTGAAACTTGTAACTAGCCTGGGACGTGTATCATTTCTCAAATGTCGCAAGTACTGTTTTCAAATGCATGTGTGTAGGAGATGTTATGGATTTTCCACACTCTGGTTTCACTTACCACTAAATGTTGCTTGAAAAATATAGTTGATATATTTCATAAGTAATAACATAATTGGAAAGTCAAGTTTTTCAGTGCAGAATAATGACTTATTATGTATCTACTTAATGGGGATTTAAGGTAGCAATCTCTTGTTTCAATAGATACAGTAAAATTTGTCTAAACTGAACACCAATAGGTGAATATTCTTTTGGCATATTTCGGTTTCTTTTTTTAATAAACCCAGATAAACTGGAAAGGTTAAATTGTCTTGATTGAACATCGTTTCCCTCCTTTTCTCTTTACCATGATACTTACATAGAAGGAAGGCCTGCGTATTCAGTTTACACAGGTTCCGGTTTACACAGGTTCTGGTATATGCAGGTTTTATTATTCAATCCCTATGAGAGTCATTGACATAGTCTCTTTAAATTAGACTGAAATGATCAAATTGTAACCATTTGATATTTTACTTGTAGTAAGTGGGTAATTAATTGTCCACTTGATTTCAAATGCAGTGTTTTTGCAGTGCATTATTTTTGATGTATTTTTAGTGATGTATCAGCTTGCCTTTTTTATTCAGATATGTACTTTTTGCAACTCTCCTGTAAATAATTGGCAAGCGCTTCGTCTATTATGAACCTGGTTACCAAGGCGATCACTGTGGATGAAAGCAGTGCAAGAGGTGCCATTGTTACTATTTGATTATCGATTTTTTTTAAAGAAAATCTTGTTCTGTACTATACTCACTAAGTAATTCAAAAAAAGAGTCTATTAAAATAGATTTTATTCAACTGATGTTGACTTTGTAGCTACTCTTAACTGTGTATGAGATGACAATGCAATAAAAGAGGGGATATGCCAAGTTCAGATGCCTGTAATGGGTCCCATATAACACATCATCCTCCATCTCCTAGACTTATTTGGGCCAATAGTGGTATTATACTGAAGCATATCATTTATTTAGTGTCATGATTTTCTTTCAAAATTTTGATTGGATGGGTACCAGTCTGTGCTGTCTGCTAAGATTTCATCTTTACAGTTGATTGGCTGATAAGTGTACTGGTACTGGTAACCCAAATATGTGGGAATTTTCCAAATAATCAATAACAGTTGTACATGCTACATCAAATTATAGATGCCATATTACTAAATCAATTTATATGGTTAATGAGCAAAATCTTTGCAGTATATCCAGTCTCTAGTGGAGAGTGTAACCGGTGTAATGCTGTTAAGAATTCCAGGCTGAATTTCTATTCAACTAGAACAATTCAATGGTTTTAAATAAATTCCATGAATATAAGAAATTAGATGGTTTGAATTCATTTTTGGCAACAATTATGGCATCAATGTTTCAGACTATGACATCACTGACTATGACATTAGTGATGCTAATTATGACATCACTGTTTCTGACTATGACATCAATGATGCTGATTATGACATTGTTGCTGATTGTGACATCAATGACGCTGATTATGACATCAGTGCTGCTGACTATGACATCAGTGATGCTGATTATGACATCACTGTTTCTGACTATGATGTCAGTGATGCTGATTATGACATTGTTGCTGATTGTGACATCAGTGACGCTGATTATGACATCAGTGCTGCTGACTGACATCAGTGATGCTGATTATGTCTTCAATGCTGCTGACTATGACATCAGTGATGCTGATTATGGCATCAATGTTGCTGATTATGACATCAGTGATGCTGAATATGGCATCAATGTTGCTGACTATGACATCAGTGATGCCGATTATGGATCAATATTTCTGACTATGACATCAGTGATGCTGATTATGGCATTAATCTTGGTGATTATGACATCAGTGATGCTGATTATGGAACCAATGTTTCTGACTATGACATCAGTGATGCTGATGACATCAGTGATGCTGATTATAACATTGTTGGTGATTTATGTTTGTGGGTGTTACTGGTTAATTTTATACTCCAGTTTCCAGTTTGTGTGTCTGTTTGTAGGTATATGTGTATGCAATTCAGCTTTACAACAGTTATCCCAAAGCTAATCATTGTGTTCAATGAAACTTAGATGGCCAAGGACAATGTACAAACCTGAATACTTCTAGTTGATTTGATGCATATTGATTTCCTAATTTGCATAGTAATTAGCAAATTAGAAGATATATGTTCTGGGATAAGCCATATACATGTTTAGTGTAGGGTTGAGTTTTGTGCTTACTAATTGGCTAATTTACATAAATTTTCCAATTTTAGGTGTTCCGCATATATTTTGTGCATCACTTTTGGATACTCCACTGATTTGATTACATGAGGGGTGAATTACCTACTTTGTATAAATGGGGTCATGTAGCCTCATTATTATGCATATGACACTAGTGATGCTAATTATAACATCACTGTTGCTGACTATGATATCAGTGATGCTAATTATAACATCACTGTTGCTGACTATGACATCAGTGATGCTGATTATGACATTGTTGCTGACTATGACATCAGTGATGCTAATTATAACATCACTGTTGCTGACTATGACATCAGTGATGCTAATTATAACATTGTTGCTGACTATGACATCAGTGATGCTAATTATAACATTACTGTTGCTGACTATGACATCAATGCTGCTGACTATGACATCAGTGATGCTGATTTTGTCTTCAA